GCCTTGTCCCCCTCAGGGTCAGGGGGTCCCGGGCTGAGCCGGCCTTGTCCCCCTCAGGGTCAGGGGGTCCCGGGCTCAGCCAGCTTTGCTGCCTGAGTCCGGGGGTCCTAGGAGTGACTCAGGCCCTGCTCCCCCACTCACCCCAGGCCCAGAACCGGACGAGCCAGATGCAGAACCTGATCCAGACGCTGGTGTCGGGCATCACGCCGTCCGCCCGTAGCCGTGCCACGCCCCAAGCCCTCGTGCTGGATGCCCTCTGCCCGCTCCTGGACATTCTCACACCCAAGCTGCGCCCCGTGAGTGCTGTATGGGGTTGGGGGGCAGGGCTCCTAGCAGACATGGCCGGGCCGTGCTCAGATCCTGTCACCCACCACTTGCCTGCAGGTGAGCACGCAGCTGTACAGCGCCCGTGAGAAGCAGCAGCTGGCTGGCCTCGTGGGCACCATGCTGGCCTACAGCCTCACCTACCGTCAGGAGCGGACCCCCGATGGGCAGTACACCTACCGGCTGGAGCCGTGAGTACACCCCCGCCTGGGGCCGCTGCTGTGCCCTGTGTCACCGCTGCTCCACCCCAACCCACCCTGCCTGGGGTCACTGCTCCCTTGGGGTCACTGCACTACTTGGGGTCACCACCGCCACATGGGGTTGGGGCACCAGGGTCGGGAGACCGAGGCCAGGGCTCGGGCACCCAGTCTAAAGCGTCTTAGTGAGCCTCGGTTTCCCCATTGGTCCAGTGTGTGTGTGGGCGGGAGGGTTTCAGCTCAGCCCTTTCCAGATGTGACCATGAGGTGGGGGTCAGTGCCAGCCCTGGGATGACCCCTGACCCTGCCTGGTTTGCAGTTATTGCTCAGCCTCTCACAGCCTGTGTCCCTGCCTGTCCCCCAAGGGAGTTCCGGAGAGCCACTCAAGTCCTCTGAGCCCCCTTCCTCCTCCTGGGGCAGTGAGGCACGGGGCATCGACCCCAAGGTGCTGCTCCTGGCCTTGCTGGCCACCCATCTTCTGGGACCCAAGACAGGCTCAGGCCTTGGTCCTGGGGTCCCCCTGCCCCAGGAACAGGGTTCAGAGTCGGCTCCTGCACCACTGTCCTTACGTGAGGAACACATAGTTGCTAGTGCATTGCTTGAGTTTGAATCGAAACGTCAGAAGTTCAAGTCCCCCAGCCGCTCCTTGAAAACCCTGTGGGGGCAGTTCTACTCTTTCTTGTAGGGTCGGTATGAGTCAAAACTAACTTGACAGCAGTGGGTTTGGTTTTTTTATTTTTGTTTAGACACCACGTAGAAACTAGAGACAGGGTTGAGGGGCTAGCCCTGGGACCCTGCTCTGCCCTGAAGCCCTCCCAGCTGGTTCTCTTTAGGGGATGACAGGTCAACCCCCCATTGCCACAGCTGGGATGTGGCAGTGACAGGACTAGAACCCAGACTCCAGTTGTTGAGCTGTGACGCTCAAGGTCGGCGGGTGGGCCCCATCCTTCCTCTGCTGACCAGGCCCTGGTGTCCCTGCCCTGCTGCCCAAGAGCAGGAACTTGGAGGAGATCTGCCGCTTCCCTGAGCTGCCCGCCCGCAAGCCGCTCACCTACCAGGCCAAGCAGCTCATTGCTCGTGAGATTGAAGTGGAGAAAATGCGCCGGGCAGAGGCCTTGGCCCCAGCCGCCCAGGGCCCCCAGGTGAGCCACCCCCGCCCCGTGAGCCCCGCCCCAGGTGAGCCCCGCCCTTGGCAGATGGAGCCCACAGAGGCCTTGTGTCCCGTGTGGCTCTGCCCAGCCGCCCTCACAACCTTCATGCCTCTGCAGGCAGACGGGGGTCCCTCAGGTGCTGCGGGTCCTCTGAGGGGTGAGCAGAAAGGGGTGCGGCACCCTGCCCTCCGCAACCATGAGCAGCGCCTGGAACTCATCATGAGAAAGGCCACCTTCGAGGAGCAGGTGAGGCGACCCGGGCAGGTGACCATGGCGGTGGGGGGGCCGAGAGTGTTGTTCAGAGGCGCCAGAACGCCCTCCCCTGATCCTCCCTCAGCCCGAGAGAGACTTCTTTGGGCGCGTGGTCGTCAGGAGCATGGCCGCCCCCAGCAAGCGTGTGGCCCCTGCAGAGGACGCGGTCCCTGGGAAGGATGCCGTCGAGCAGTGCGTAGGCACGGCCATCGGCAGGAGCCACGTCTGGTTCCGCTTCAACGAGGGCGTGTCCGACGCCGTGCGGCGGCGCGTGCACATCCGCGACCTGCTGTAGCTCCGCCGTCCATCCTGGGACCCCTGCCCTCCCATCCCATGCTGGGACCCTACCCCGAGACCACGCCAGGACCGGGCCAACCCCACCGAGACCCGCAGCATCATTGGAAACCAGCCCCCCACTGCAGCGTGCATGTCCCCAAAATAAAAAATTTGGAAGACCCTTGACTTAATAAAAGAAGTGACACCTTTACAAGTTCAGAAAAGATGCTTGTCTGGCAGTGGAGGGTGTGGGGGCCGGGAAGGAGGCGGTGGGGGCTGAGGAGCTGGGGGGGGAGGGGGGGTTGGGGGGGCTTCACAGGACGGTGCACTTGCCCTTCTCCACCCACGGGTTGTTCTTCATCAGGTCGGGGTTCAGGAAGGGGTCCTTGGGGATCCCGTCCTCGATCCACTTGAGGAGCCTGCAGGCAGGGGCCGTGAGTGGGGGCGCCCGGCCCCTCCCCAGGGTGCCACAGGTTGGGAGGCGGAGCTGATGGCATCTGCCAGTCTGGGGGGGGGTGTGGTCTTGGCTCATGCAAATGAGCATGGAGCAGGCAAATGAGATGCAAACCTCATAGAGGGGGGAACCGCCTGGGGGCCTGGGGGACTCGGAGGTGGTGGGGGCAGGGGCCTGGCACTCACTCGGGGATAGTCTTAGAGGACATCTCCCTCTTGAAAGCCAACTGGTACTTGAGGCTTTCGACCTCCTTCTTCATCTGAGGAACGTCCCACTCCTCCATGGCGTCAGGGGCCTCGGTAGCCAGTCTGGGGCTGGGGGTACGAGAGGGCGGAAGTGACAGAGTCAGGTGCCCACCTGCAGTCACCCCCTAGCTGCCTCCTCAGCTGCCTGAGGCCCCCGAAGTGGGGGTGAGAGCCTGGCTCGGCCTGGAGAGTGGCCTCCCCATTGCCCAAGGTGGGCTGCAGGGACCGCACTGCTGCCTCAGCCCCTCCTTGATAACGAGGCCCCACAGCCCTCACCCCTCACCCCTGGGGCCAATTAACTGTAGGGCTAACTTTCCACCCTCAGCTTGCCCCCCCCCCCAGTCTCAGCCTCACCAAAGCCCAGCCTCCCAGGAGTGGGGGTCGGGGGGGGGCTGGGGGGGGTTGAAGCGGGGGGTGCGGATAGTGAGGCAGCAGGATACGCACCTTACCGGGGCAGGGCCCTGGGAACCCACGCTGCCCCCCATGCTTACTGTCAATTCCCGGCTGCAGGGAGGGGGCAACCAACTGCCTTGGAGGGGCAAGGCCTCAGGAGGCACCCCGCCAGTCCCCTCACCTGTCTTCCCCCCCTTCAAGCCCCCCATGGGCACAGGGGGCCAAGACAGGCCTGGGCCCCCCTGGGGATTTGGCTGAAATTTGCATGTCCAGCCTGGAGGGCAGGGCTTAGGGGCAGAAGCACTGGCCAGAGCCGCTCTCAGGCAGGATTTAGGATGGGTCGGCGTGGCCCGCGAAGCCTGGTGTCTCTCCCCGCCCCACTCCCATGGACCGTCCTGACCTCCTTTCGGCATAGCCACAGGTTGAGACCTCTTGGAAGCTAGTGAGGTGGCTGCTCCCTGCTCCCAGCTCACTCTAGGGGCCCAGGGAGGCGTCCCCCCCCACCCCCGCCCTGCTCCCTCCTCCAGGCTGTGGGGAGCCCTGGATAGGGGGCCCTGGGTGGGAGTCTCCATCCTGGCAAGGCTACAGCTGCGCCGCCGGCGGGGAAGGGGCGGGGCCTTGGCCGGCGCCCTGGTTGGGGTGGGGAGGCCTACGCGGAGGGGGTGGGGGCGGG